TAAACAATTCTGAGCAACAAGTTTTTATGATCAGGATGCAATAGTCACATATGTAACAATATGATGCAACAGTGGACTAACAGATATAAATTACATATGAATCTATTTATTTTTTCCATGAAAAATACATAATCTGTTTTAAGATTGTTGTTTAAATTGGGTAATTGAAACAAAATAAATAAATTCATGCTTTATTAAATTAACTAAAATATCAAATAAAACCATACTTGATAAATTACATCATAGAGCATAAATATGAAACAAGACTAATATAAGAACATATTTAATCTAAATACGAAAATACACTACAAAAAAAGTCACTTTTAGCTACTAAAATATTGGTCGCCAATTGTCTGTTTTTTGGTTGCCAAAGCCATTCTGCGACAAAAAATTTTGGTCGCTACATTTGTCGCCAAAACCCTATCGGGAAAGGTTTTGGAGGGTTTTGCCGACTAAAAAACCTTTGGTCGGCAAAAAGCAAGTCTTTAGCGACCAAAATTTTGGTCGCCAATAGTCAATTATATTTCTTTAAAATCATACATTCACCGACCAATGTTTTAGTCGCCAATAGTAAAGGAATCGCCGACCAAAATCTTTAGTCGCCAAAAGGTACCAAACGGTGACCAGCATTTTCAGTCGCCAAAAGCTTCATCCGTGAAAAAAAATAATTCATTGTTAAGCTTTACATCCGCTCTTATGAAGACTTAAACCACCAACCTTCCACACCATAAACCTTATGCACCACGCACTTCCCATTACGCCTCTATAACACCACATGATTATATATGTAATATATATTATTTATATAGTCACTACAAGAAAATGGGGTTTAAGAGACGGCACTTTTTGCGATGGCATAACTTTTCGTCGCAAAAAATGTGACCTTTTGAGATGGCACAACTTGCCGTCGTAAAAAAATGTGACCTTTTGAGACAACACAACTTGTCGTCGCCAAAAAATATGACTTTTTGAGATGGCACAACTTGCTGTCGCAAAAAATGTGACCTTTTGAGACGGCACAACTTGCCGTCACAAAAAATAGAGTATTTGCGACGTCATAAAATGCTGTCACGAAAAAATAGAGTATTTGCAATGGTAGAAATTGCTGTCGCAAAAAAAAAAAAAATAGAGTTTTTCCGACGGCTTTTGTATTTAGTGAAAACAAGAAAACAAGAAAGTATAATTTTTTCAAAAGAATTTTTGGAAAACTCTAACCTAGCATAGTGATTGTGGCTTTGAGACGGCTTCATATATATACAGTCACAAAATGGTTTATATAAATGCAACGGTATTTTTCTGTCACAAAAAAAAAAAAAAATGACGTCGTCTTACTCTTTTGAACATTTCTCTTTTCACCCATTTTTTCATCTTCCTATCTCTCTGTCTCTATTTCTGTCTCTCTTCTCTCTCTCTCTCACTCATTACTCTTCTCTGTCTGTCTATCTCTCTCTTTCTCTCTGTGTCTCTGTGTCTCTGTCTCTATTTTTTTCCTCTCTCTCACTCATCACTCTTCTCTGTCTGTCTCTCTCTTTCATTCTGTGTCTCTCGTCCATCTCTCTTCTGTCTATCTCTCTCATCTCTCTTCTCTTTCTATCTCTTCTCTTTATCTCTCTCACTCATCTCTCTCTGTCTCTCTCTTGTTTATCTCTTTTCGCACTTTTTTTTCTCTCTCTCTCTCTTGTTTATCTCTTTTCATACTTTTTTTTCTCTCTCTCTCTTTGTCTATATCTTTTCACCCATTTTTTCATCTTCCTCCCTCTCTTCTCTTTCTCTATCTCACTCATCACTCTTCTCTCTCTATCTATCTCTCTTTTTGTCTCTCTGTGTGTCTCTCACTCATCTATCTCTTCTCTCATCTCTTTTCTCTTCTTGTCTCTTTCGCTCATCTCTCTTCTCTCTATCTCTCTCATCTCTCATCGCTTTCTGTCTCTCTCGCTCATCTCTTTTCTCTCTATTTCTCTCTCTGTCTCTCTCGTTTATCTCTCTTCTCTCTATGTCTCTCTCGCTCATCTCTTTTCTCTCTATCTCTCTCTCTGTCTCTCTCGTTCATCTCTCTTCTCTATCTGTCTCTTTTTCTGTCTCTCACTTTCTATCTCTTTATCTTTTTGTCTCTCTTTCTTCTCTCTCTTCTTTCTCTCTCTCCTCCACTGTGTTCGCGTTGCTCACTCTCTTCCTTCCGTGTTCTCTATTTACTGAGCTCCGTCTCGATTTATCTATTCACTACAAGAAAATACACTTTTAGTGACCACTTTGTCTCTCTCTTGCTCATCACACTGTCTCTGTCTATCTCTCTCTGTCTCTCTCCTCTATCTGTCTCTCACTCATCTCTCTCTCTCTCACCACCCGTCTCCTTTACCACCTTCACCACTACTACAAACGCCATTCCACTACCACCATTGCTACCATTGTCGCCACTTCACCTCTACGACTACCATTACTACTATCATTGCCACCACTCCACTACCACCACTACCACTACTGCCACTACTACTACCATTACCTCTCTTTCACCCCTGCCACTCCATCTACTCTATCACTACCACAACTTCACCACTAATCTCCTTCGCCATCACCACCACCACCACCATCATCTCTTATCCACCACCTTCACCACTACTGCCGCTCCCTCTCCTCTACCACAAAAAATTAGTTCATGATTTTTAATAACCAAAAAAAATGGACAATAGAAAAATATTTTTCATTGATAACAGAAAATTGATTTTTATTTTAGTCGAAAATATTTTTCATTAAAATATTACCCCTACTTCTACCAAGTAAAAAATAATAATATTTTTTTTCATTAAAATAAAAATGAAACAAATAAATTTTCAATCTTAGTAACTAAAAAAAAGAAGAATTTTTTTAAAAAAAAATTCATTAACTACAAAAAATATATATTTTAACAAAAAATAAAATTTTTTGACGATGGCAACCCCGTCGCAAAAAATAAAATAAAATAAAATAAACGGCGTTATTTTGTTATTTAAATTTCATTTCTGACCTAAAAAAAAAATTTATTCACTGTGTTTGGTTTGAGTTTTTTGGATTAAGTTTTTTGAAAACTGAGTTTTTTGATTTTCGTGTCTTTTTGTTTTTAGTGAAAATTTTTAAAATTTTAAATTTTTTTTTTTACTTTTTTAGATGCACCTTACTTAGATGTGTCTAAAAAGTAAAAAAATTGCGAAAAAATATTTTTAAAAATTAAGAAATACATAAAAATACAAAAAATGTACTAAATTCTTGTATTTTTTTTTTGTATTTTTGGTATTTAGCGAATTTTTAAAAGATTTTTTTTACAATTTTTTTACTTTTGCATAAAATATTAAAAAAATTCAATAAAAACAAAAAAATAAAAAAAATAAGAGTGTAAAATTTTCTGAAAATTGTTTTTAAAAAATGGGAACCAAGCAAAGTGATTGTTATTTTTTATTCCCGCCCCTTTTTTTTCCAATCCCCCCTCCCCTCCCCAAAACAAAAAATCCCCAATCTCAAACACAAAAAATCCCTAATCTCTTCTTACCTCCGTCTCTCTCTCTCTCGATCGACAGCGAGCGGCGGAGGAGCAGCGTCGTCGTCGTCGTCGTCGTCGTCGTCGGAGCAGCGTCGTCGTTTACACAACAGTCTCACACTAATCATGTCACCTCAAGAACAATAATTTATGTTCTCTCTCTCTCTCTCACTTCTTGTCGCTTTCTCTTTCCATGCCCCTTCTCTTCGACCAACCTCTGTAAATTTCGCTCAAAGAATCGAAACCAGAGCTTCTCTGAATAACCAAATCTCTTTCCTTCATATATATATATATACTTTATCATCATCTCTCTCTCTCTAGAAATTGCGTTTGGGCCTCACACAAAACCTCCATTGATGGAATCCTCATCACCAATCTCAACCCAACAGACTCTCCACCAAGACCCAAATCCCGAATCTCCCCAAAACCACTTCCCTACAAGAAAAACTTCGTCACTTCTCTATTGGAGGCCGCTACACTCCGAACCCCCTCGTTCCGTAAAGACCCTTATTTTGTTTCCCACCTCAAATCCTCCGAACGCAAAGCTCTCCAAGAGCTTAAAGACAAGATCATGTCTTCTGATGGTCCAGACTCCGTTTTTGGGTTTTTTGTTGTGGGTGTGTATTACCATTAAGTGGTCGCTCGTAAGGTAAAAATCTCAATTTGAAAACTGTTTTCTGTGTTTTTGAAACTGGGTTTTTGATTTTGATGTTTTTATTTTCTGGGTTTGTACAGATATTCATCAATGTACTATGGTACTCCAGTGTGTTGTATTCAATGTTCAGTCCATTCCTGACTCAACGAACTAAGAGCAAGTTCGTGATCTCTAAGGAAGGGAATGTTGCACAGACATTATACAAGTTAGTACAGCTCTGTTCTCCTTAAATTGATTCTGATTTGGGTTTTTAATTTGATCTGTTAAATCATAAATGCTCGTATGTTTTTTCATTGTTTGCCTGTTATCTTCTATTTATAGTATCAAGTTATGAATGTTTCAATTGCTTCATTACAAAGTTGTTTGTTTGTTACTACTCTTTAGAGATCTGGTCTGTTGACTATTGCTCTTTATGGTCTCTTTGGTTGTGTTTTTGTTTTCTGTTTTCATTTTTGAAAACATGTTTTTCCCTTTTTATTTATTTATTTTTTTTAGGGAGGGGGGGGCTCTGCAATTTGTGTATGCTGTTTTTCCTTTTCTTTCTTATATCTGTGTTTGGGATTTTGTTTCATTTTGTTTTGTTTTTCATCAAATTTCATGAAAAACAGAGTAAGGATGGACATATGTGCTTCTGAGTTAAAACTTTAGGCTTCAGAGTGGTATTTCTCTTCTTGCTAGTTGCCACCTATGGCTAAGATGACTGTTTCAGTGGTTCTTACATTTATAGTTTTTACCAACGTAGTGGGCTGACCTCTTTCATTCATTTTTTTTTTTGCATCAAATTTATTTATTTTTATTATTTCAGCGTTCTTATGTTTGGTATATGGCCCGTTTTTGCAGGTCTAAGAATGGTAGATGCTCAGTATAACTTAAACGAGCAACCAAATGAAGGTGGGCTGTTCTTTTGGTTCTTCAACTCCATTTTTCTGGGCAACAGTTTAACTATTGACTGCTAACCCAACTATGTTGTTTCAATATATGTTATAAGGACATAGTCACCAGTTAGACAAATAAGGTTGTTGACATCTAGCATGCTATAGGTTGTCTAATTTGATGACATCCCAAAAATTGAAATTTCATAAAAGTGTTGATCTCTATGGCATATGATACAAATTAAATGGTAAAACTGGAGTGCTACAGTTGCACAGGTTTGATACCCATTTTATTCTGAATCTTCCTTATCATGTGCAGGCAATTTTGCAACTGGTTTTGAATGTTATATTCTGCTGAAGAAAGATGGTAAAACCATTTGTCGGACACGATGCCTTAATCCACTTATTCAAATGTACGAGTATTGTCCTTTACATGTTGTATGCTAATTTGTTGGTTGTTTTTTGGACTTTCTTACATCCAATACTAAATTTACCATTTTTAGGTTGGTTCTTTGCGTGTTAGGTTGATCTTTGACATGTATTTTGGTGCGCTTTTAGAGATTACAAGCCTGTCTCTCATTTTATGCAATACAGTATCACTTTCCATGCAGGTTACTAGTCCCATTTTCTTTTAGAATTGTGTATGCTAATTCCTACATAGTTACATCTTCTAGTTGGCCAGAGCCCCGAAAGTTGTGATGAAATTTGAAGTTACACATGTCCATGGCTATTAAAGTTTTTGAGTGACAGTTACAACTTCTGTGTGATTAGGTTTGGGCATTAGATTGAATTATTTTTTCTCTTTGTTGGCCATGGAGCACTCCCTGTGATTAGTGCAATTACTGTGCATGAGTCCTATGTTCTTATGCATCTCTTCATAGTACCAGCTTATCTCCCACATGTAGTTATCTTGTTTTTGTGGGAATATTTATATTTTTTTTACAGAGTGATATGGCCTAGAGCTTTACATGTTACGTTTTTGACAATTTTGAGGCTTACACATTGTGTCTTTAGAAGATTGGTATAATTTAGCTTAACCTATAATGAGGTTCAGCCATGTATATATGTAGACAAATTACGAGTAGGGAAATAAATCTGATTAAATTGAACAAGGCATAGAATCTGTGATTGCCTAAACATGGGATATCATTCTAGATATTCTTAAAGTAGGTATTCCTACATCTTTTACCTCTTTCCTTATGTGGATTCTTGTTTTCACACTTCTGGAAATAGGTTGTCCCTTGTAGTTTTTTGGTTGGTCCATTTAAGATCTTTTACATTCTTGATCATGAAATTCTACTCACACTAACTATGAAACATTTTACAGGCCTCTTGTTTGGACCATATCTAATATAGTTTGACAAAAGCCAAATACTATCACTTCTAGATTACCTCAATGTATCCTACTCCCTGCTTTTCAAAATTCTCAACAGCAAAATGAGTGGGGACTGTTTTTGGGTTTTCTCCAGAAGTATAAAAGGGTAAAGTTCTGTACATGTTACCTGATATTCATTTTGTTTACGTTTAGATGTATACTAAGGCCCTTCTAAATAGCCTAAGTTGACATTTCCAGTGCTTGCTACTAATTTGAATTGAACTGCCTTAAAGAAATTTTTGTTGCTCACCTGACCACCGTGACATGCACTAAAAGAAACATGTGAATGTTGGAAATTTTTATAAATTTCATTATTTGGCAAGGATAATTGGCTATTGACACTGTATGTAGCTAGCTTCTTGGATTATGTAATTTTATAAGGAATTGCAGCTTGAATAGCATTTTTTAAAGCCTAAAATTAAAGATGGGTTTGCCAAATTTGTCTCAAATAAATGGTTTGGTGCTATTATTTTCAGTAGGGTCTTATTTGGTGTCATAACTTATTTCCATTGCTTAATTTTTTCAAAAATTCATCTGTTCTCATTGTTGATTGAGATGTTTAATTATCCATGCGGGATTTGATAACTAACAAAAAAAATGTTGTATTTGATGTTGTTGGGAGTTAGAGCCAGATTTCAGATATAATTTTTATGTTTTGTTGTATTTGATGCTATAGTAGTTAAATTTTTGTTTTTGTATTTGATTGAGATGTTTAATTATCTATGTGGGATTTGATGACTAACAAAAAAAATGTTGTATTTGATGCTATAGTAGTTAAATTTTTATGTTTTTTTTGTAATTAACATTAACACATAATTATATTGTCATTAATAATTTTTATTTTTATTTTTCAGATATTTCCCATATAAGTGTGTGCTTCTTGTGGAATGCATGCCTGTGGAGAATGTGACTAATTTTTGTTTTTGTTATTTACGAAGAATGATGAGAAAAACATTTAATTTTGATTTATATTATTTTGAATTATGAACAAAATCATGTATTTAAACATTATATATGTATTATGGAACATTATGTAGTGAGATAATTTTGTTGATGTGTAATTATGAATGGAAGAATATTTTATTATGGAGAAATTGTTATTTTTATACAAGAATTTTTATATTATTATGCAATTATTATAGAGAAATTTTAATATTTTTAATGATTTTATCGCAGGATGATTTTTTCTTTTGTGACGGTACTACATCGTCGCAAAAAACAGAAAATATTAATATTTTTATTGATTTTGTTACAGGTTTTACTTTTTGCGACGGCACTAAACTGTCGCAAAAAATAGAAATTTTATTATTTAAAATAGAAATTTTATTATTTTTTAATACTTTTTGCGACGGCAGTACACTGTCGCAAAAATCAAAATTTTCATATTTTAATATTTTTTGCGACGGCAACACACCATCGCAAAAACAGTGTTCTTGCCGTTGCAAAAAAGAAGACTATTGGCGACGGCTTTTTTATGCCGTCTCAAATAACATTTTTAGCGACGGTAAAGTAGTGCCGTCGCAAAAAAGTCAAGAAATTTCAAACATTATTAGCGGCTGTAAAGTGCCGTCGCATAAGGCAAAAATGCCGTCGCAAAACGTTTTTGTAACGCCCCCAGTTATGACCCCCCTCTTGCCGTCGCAAAAAGTCATTTCCCGTCGCAAAAAGTTTTTTGCGACGGCATTAGAAGTATTAGCGACAGCATTTTACCGTCGCAAAAAGCTGAAATTTTAGTAGTGAATACATAGACCCGTATTAATATAAAAGTATATGTATAAAAATAATTATTTTTATTGACATAATTTATGTAAAAGTAAATTATTTAGTAGCAAAATAAAAATAGAAATTTAACTTTTAATGGCCAAAATAATTTTGGTCGCCGAAGAGACTTTCGCGCTAAAAAAGACCACTTTTCGCTACTAAACATATTTTTAGTCGCCAATTGTAGACTGTTTGGCTACTAATTTTTTTTTAGTTGCCAAAAAACTTACTTTTGGCTACTAAAAAATGTTTTAGTCGGTAAAACCCACATAATTGGTGACCAAACTTATAATTAGTCGCCAATTGTAGACTTTTTGGCTACTAAATTTTTTTTAGTCGGCAAAAGCTGTACTTTTGGCTACTAAAAATGTTTTAGTCGGTAAAACCCACATAATTGGCAACCAAAATTATAATTAGTCGCCAATTGTTGACTTTTTGGCTACTAAATTTTTTTTAGTCGGCAAAAACTATACTTTTGGCTACTAAAAATGTTTGTCGGTAAAACCCATATAATTGGCTACCAAACTTATTTTTAGTCGCTAATTGTAGACTTTTGGCTACCAAATTTTTTTAGTCGCCAAAAGGCTTCACAATTGTCTACTAATGCTTTTTTAGTCGCTGAAAGCTATACTTTCAGCGACCAAATTCTTTTTAGTCGGGAAATTTGGTCACCGAATGTGTTTTTTCTTGTAGTCATAAGAAATCAAACCAAATTCCGTATGATACCACAGTGTCCTTAAAATAGATTAGCCGCCTCACCATGGGTGCTGGAGGAATGTCCACTTCTATCTTCCAGGATAAGATGGTTTAAACCGGCTAACTCAAAAACACCTTCTGTTAGTTTTGGTGAACCGACAATGGCAGCACTCTCTCACAGTAAAAAATTTCTAGCAAACTGATTAAAGAATGAAAGAAACAATTTCTGTGTTTGAGACTTAGCAGGAGGGTCTCAATTTATACATGTATAGGGGAGAGAGGAGAAGCCTCTAGCCTTCATGGATGGTCACTAATGCACCATTAACCTCTGAAATAAAGGCAAGAGTTACAAACCCCATTAATGCACTATTAAACTCTGCAATAAAGGAAAAAGTTACAAACCCCATTAATTCTTTCATGAAGCTAACTTTATGGGACAATTTTTCATTCAATTCTCAATGGTTTTTGGCCATTTTATTTGTGGTGCAAAGATCTCATTGCAAAGTATCTAGACTCACTTACACCGAACACAATAGATGGTTGGGACCTACTTTAAAATTTAGTTAAAGTCATCAAAAATTCATTTTTTCCAACAGCTATCTCCATATTTTCTTCATCACCAAACAAAAAAACCAAAAACAAAAGAGTCTATCTTCTATCTATAAAAGCCTAACCCACTCCACCATTTCCCCCAACAACATTCTCTCTCTCTCTCTCTCTCTCTCTCTCTCTCTCTCTCTCCCCCCCAAAAAAAAGGAAGAATTGTAAGAGTTTTTTAGGTGTCATTTGAGATGGCTTCAAAGGATCTCCTCCTCCTCTCCCTCAACCTCCTCTTCTTCACTCTAGTGAGTTCTAATTATGGCCCATGCCCACCACCACCACCAAAAACTCCCAAGCACCACCACAAGCGCCCATCTCCACCCGCTATGGCCACTTGTCCTAGAGACACCCTAAAGTTGGGTGTTTGTGGTAACTTGCTTGATGATTTGGTGCACCTTGTCATCGGAACCCCGCCCAAGACTCCATGCTGCACCCAAATTCAGGATCTTGCTGATCTTGAGGCTGCTGTTTGCCTTTGCACCGCCATTAAAGGTAATGTGTTGGGGATTAACCTCAATGTTCCTACTTCATTGAGCGAGCTGCTGAATTGCTGTGGAAAGAATGTCCCAAGTGACTTCCAATGTGCTTAATTAAATTTTTTGTATTGATCTCATAATTATATCTCTTCCTCGTAAACTCGTCCAGTGTGCTGTTGTATGAGGAACGATCGTATGGGTAATCGTTTGAGATGTTACAACTTGATTTATATATCCACCGTATTGTTATCCTTGTTCATGAAGGAGAAAATAATTAAGGATTGCAGGCTTTCAACATCAATAAAATGCGATTATTGATTCTTGTTATTTTGAAAGTTGTTTTGCTTTCTATGATTCCTACTCCATGATTACTTTGGTGTTTCTTTGCAAGTTATGGAGAATATGAGTAAAAAAATTTCTTCTTTAATTCTCTTTTAAAATTATGTGAGTGATTGTTGTTTTGCAATTTTAATTTCCGACACCCTTCGCCCTCCCCTTTAGATTAGGACATTTCTATGATGTTGTTTGATGTTCTGAAAAACTAAAAAGAAAAAAAAAGATTGCTATATATAATGAAGAGTAATATTAAAATGATTAAATTTTGGACCAGCTTCCCGTTCCGGTTCAGTAATTGAATTGGAGGGTCTTGTTAAGGTAGTGTGGGTTTATTTTGGAATCATTTTGATAATCTAAATTGTTTATTTTCTATGTAAAAAAATAAAGTTAATTTGAGTCTATAATAATTCATATACTCCATTGGGATCTCATAGTCTATTGAAATATTGATAATTCGAATAAATGAAAATATATAGACAGGAAAAAGAAAAAAAAAATGGGAGAAGTAACCAGTACAAAGTAACCATTTGGTTCAGTAGCTTTGTTCTAATCATACTCTGTATGATAATTTTTCTATTCCTTCAAGCAGGCATTTGCTTCTCTAAACATAGGGTTAAAAAAAAAAAACCCTAATTACAGCATAAACTACAAAGGAAAAAAAATGTAGTCATCAATGAAAAATCTGATCTACCAATGTGAAAGGCTCCATCAGAATTTTAAATATCAGCTAATACTTATTGAGATTTTAACTTTTGATATTGATATTTGTTGATATATTTACTTATACTATTTATGTATGACTGCATTGTTAATATTAACACGTATTCTGACACTGCTATTTAAAATCATGAGCTCCAAACGCACATGCTGCTTATTCATAGAATAAGGCCTGCGCCCTAGGTCGATGGCTGCTGAAGTTGCTATACTGCTCATGATGTTGGATTGGGCTGTTCGGCATTTCAAGTCCGTCCCCATGCCCATTTCCAAGATACTGCTGCACCACCAACACTGACATGGTGGCCGCAAAATCCGATGATGCCAACAAATCACCAATTGCACCAAGTTCCGGGCACTCGCTCCAATCTGTCAACCCTGCCGTGAGCGGCGACACCATGCCTTGTCCTCTGCCAACTATGAAAAGGTCATATAATGTATTGTCAATCGATCTTATCGCCGCCATTGTATCTTCCCCATTATTTACCACCTTTTCTTTGTAAATTATTGAATCGTTCACAGTTCTTGCCCTAAACTCTTTTATATAGTCCTCGTCCAGTTGTTTATCTCTATCACTGTCTGTCACCACTGTCAGTGTGGTAGGGCTGTTGGGTCCGGCGCTAGTTTCCACCCTCGTTGGATCAATTGCATTGTCACCGGCAATGAATCGCATGACGGTCAGACTGATTCCGGGATGCTCAGACATCCTCCAAGCATATGATAGTGCCTCTCTGTCATCTGCTCCACCGAAGAACAGGACAGCAACTTGGTGTGAAACCTATTAGGATGTTTTAACAAAATCAAAATTATTATTTAATTTTTTTTATTTTATCTAAAGATCAGTACTGTTGAAATTAAGTTCAAAACAGATGTACAAAATCCAATACAGAATTTATGTTAAATCATTATAGATTTAAACCCATCGATTTTCCAGTTTTGTTACAAAATAATACTCATTTATTGTGTTAGATTTATAGGGACCATGAAAAAATGTCATGAAGATTATCAGAAAAGATTCTCTACCTTTGGGTTACACATACAATAAAACATCACACACTAATCAAAGGATGAAAAATCTTCATGATACATTTCATGATATTTTTTTCATGATCCCTAGCATTACTCTTTTTTTATTTTTAAGGTTGTGTTTAGATTATAAATATAAGAAATTATTTAAAAAGGAAAAGGAAAAATTGAGGAAAATGAAGAAAAAATTAGCTTATATTTCAGCCATTACTACTGTCATTTAATTTAACAGCAATGCTAGGTATCATAAAAAAACTTTCATGAAAACAATCATAAAAGTTTGTAACCCTTGGATTACACTTAGAATAAAATACCACACACTAATCAAGGTAATCCAAAGATCATAAATTTTTCATGATCATTTTCATGAAAAGTTATTCATGATCCCTAACTTTTCTCTTAATTTAAATTCTAATTGTTTCGTATTTTCTGTCATTTTTATTTATAAAATTTGCACTTACTATTGTGATTGTTATTTTTCTAGACTAAGAATAACAATCTCAAGCTACTTTTCTTTCTAAATTATAGCAGATCTAGCAAAGAGAACTTTTACTTGGTTTTGTCAAACAAATTGTTAATATGTTGTTCTCAACTTTTATTTTCCCTCAGTTTATATTATATTTTCTTGTCGTTGTTATTACAAGATTTTATATAAATATTATTTTGCTAGATTAACAAAAACCTGGTTAGAAGCACCTAAACGGGTCGATCCAGTTAGCCCTCGGTCGACAAGAATCCCCACTGAGCATGGCGCGTTAGCCAACACGTTCTGGTTGATGGATCGGAATGCAGCATTGGCAACCTGCATTCCTCCATCCACCGTTTGCTGTTTGTGAAAAGGAATGATGATGAAGGCAACATGCTTGTCCTCTGCCAAGTTGCAAATGTCCTCGTGCATCGTGGTGTAGGGAGAGATGGCGGTCAGAGGGTTGACGGAGACACAAGTGACGCGTTGTTTGAAGTTTTCAAAGGCATTGATAATTTGGTTGGATTGGGCTTGGGTCCGGTTGAGGGCGGGGCTACCAGAGCCTTGGGTGGAGTGGACAATGAGCATGGCAGAGGCTCGACCGGTGAGCTCGACAAGGTGGAGGACGTAGATGCAAAATGGGGAATTTTTTGTGGGGTGGGAGGCTTCGAGGAGTTTGATGATTGTTGGAACATTTCGAGGGGTGTGGATGCAAACTAGTACTCGAAGTTCGGTTTCGGGTTTAAGTATCTGGATTGATCTTCGTTTGTAGGGGGCAAACCTTTTTGATGGTTTGTAGATTGTGGTTACAATTGGAGTGATGATCGCAGTCATGGCTACAGCTACAATGATCATGATTGCAAATGCTCTGTCATCTAACACCTGCACAACAGAATGGAAAATGAGACTCTCAATTGTGAATTTTTTATAAAAACAGGATTTTTTCATAAATTTTCTTTGGGGGATAAGATTGTGAGATTGGATTGTCAATCTGAATTTCGTGTTTGGATATAATAGTAGATTAAATTATAATTGTAGTTATTATTACAAAGATTGAATTGTTATCAATAGTCCGGATTGGTCTCCCTATCCAGCCCGCAACTAATATGCTCAAGTCCTCATATATGGATTGAGTCTTATGAACTTTGACCCGTTAACGAGTTAGACCGGGCTGGGCTGCTTAGCAAATTGAAACCATAGTCCACTCATATGCCCTCATATATGGATTGAGTCTTATAAACTTTGACCCGTTAACGAGTTAGACCGGGCTGGACTGCTTCGCAAATTGAAATCATATTCCATTCATATGCCCTACGTTTATTAGTCAAAATCAAAATGAATCGGCCTTGACTGAGACCATTAGACTTATATTATTACCATTTGTACTTTTTCCATTTTCAACATTTAATATTTCCATTAGTTTGTTTGTTTGTTTGTTTTTTTTTTTAAACCTGTTTCATGTATTTTTTCATTTATTTTTTTCTTTTCCTTGTTACATTTCTCATATAATCAAACAATGATCCTGTAACATTATAAATATTACTGCTGGAATGGAATTGAGCCATTTGACTGTGTGGATTAATAAGTTTTGGAAATGCGTTCTTGTGAGTTATAGTGTCATTAGGGCTTTCTTTAATTTCATGATAATAGGCTCAATTGAATATGGGTTCAAAATTAGGCAATAAGTAAATCGGTGGACAGTGTTGAGTTTGTGCACGAGAGTTATTTTCAGTGGACAATTTGGGTTATGGACTAATGGAATGGTCAGGTTGAGTTTGCCTGTGCTAGATTTTACGACCTAACTTATGGGCGGGCTCAGATTACAAATTCTTGATCAAAGTCTTAAATTATCTTTTATGAGTTGGGTTGGAATGGGCTGGGCATTGAAGTGGGTCGAGCCGGGTCAGGGCAGGCCATAGGATAGGTGGGCTAGACTTGGTAATGTTGGGTTTTCTACTTGCGGGCCCACTTGATGACCCTTATGAGAGGCCAACTATAAGGAGTACGAGTTTTATTTGTCCCTGTATTTATGCACCTATTTCTATAGATTTTATCATGGTTATAAAAAGAAAAAAACGAATTTCTTACCTAATTTTCTTACTACAAAACAAAGAGAAAAAAAGAAAGTAGTAGTAGTAGTGAGAAGTTATTCATGTAGGATCCATAACTTTGTTGTCTAGTGTTTAAAATATGGAACTAAAAAATTGGATTATGTATGACATTTTTTTTTCAAAACTGTTAGAGATACTAAAAGAACTATCAAAATTTCTACACAATTATTATGTAAAATTTTTAGTAATTTTTTTGGGTCTTAGTATTGCTCTTTTTGTTTTATCATACTAGCATGTGAATAATTGAAAAGGTTTCAAGAAGCAAGTACCTGTTGTTCCCTGCCAACATTAAGCACAATCATTTCAACAAGGCCTTTGGTATTCATCAGCAAACCTAGTGTAAACCCTTCATAAAATGGCATTTGGTAGTACATTGCAACAACTAGAGTCCCTGCAATTTTCCCAAGAAAAGCAAGAACAATAACCAGAATCAAGTACCCCCATGTTATAGCCCCTGTGATCGCCAAAAAATTGGTTTTCAACCCACTCATGGCAAAAAACAGAGGAAGCAAAAGCCCCGAAACAAAGTCCTCAAGCTTTTCAACGAGCGTGACACTAAGTTGTCCATTCGGGATAACTAAACCAAACATGAAAGCTCCAAACACAGAATGTGTCCCAATAGCATCAGTTATAAACCCTGCTACCATAACCCCAGTGAGAATCAAACATACATAGAATTCGCTTATCGCTTCCCCTTCTGGGGTTCGCTTCATCATCCATGTGACCAGCGGTCTCACAAGGAATATACAACAAACCACGAAAGCCACGCTTGATACGATCACCCAGAGTGCGGCCATTGAAGTTGTGTCATTTTCGGCTAAGGCAATAGCAATAGCTAATAGAATCCAAGCACACACGTCGTTGATGAGAGCGGATGCCATAGCGATCCTGCCAATATTGGAGCTGAGGAGTTTTAGCTCAGCTAGGATGCGAGCGAGGACAGGGAAGGCGGTGACTGAGAGAGCCACACCAAGGAAGAGGATGACAGTGGCTTGGTTTTTTGTGGTGGTGTGTGATTTTTGTTGCAAGATGAAGGAGAAGGAGATGCCAATGATGAAAGGTAGTATCATGCCTCCAATGGCTATGGCTAGGGCTTTTCTTCCAGTGCGGTGAATTACGGCTAGGTCCATTTCTACTCCGATGAGGAAGAGGAAGTAGAGGAGACCAACGTTTGCCATTGTTTCTAGGACCATTACACTTCTTAGAGGGAACACTGCTTTTGCAAATTCTTCACTCTGTCCTAATATTGAAGGACCTAGTACCACTCCACCCTGTGAGCATTGAGCAAGACATAGGTGATTCTAATTAGTCATAAGTTTATGAATAAATCTACCTATACAGAAATCGGTGACACAAAATGCATGCATACGAATAAGATTTTTCAAAGTGAAACTGCTAATAAATCTTGTGAAATCTTATTTCTTTGTGTATTTTGTGTTTGATTTTGTAATAAGTTTAAAGAATGAAAGTTTATTGAAAAAGATGAAGAGATAGCATTGCAGATATCTCAGAAGCACAAATTTCTGAAACGAACATGTGATATTATACGGACAAGCGGACAAATAAAATTTTGAAAGTTTAAGGCATGATAGTCAGTAACATGGGCAAAAAAATATAATTTTATATAATTATTATGTCATAAATTTTAGTATTATATATTTATTCTATGTTAAATATTTATATTCATCAAATTCATCAACCTTAGTAGTTATTCTAGTATTTTTTTTAATGGGCCTCCAATGTGTCTTAATGTGTCTTTATTGTGTTCTCATCGACTCCATCCACTGTGTCCGACATGTATCCGAAGAGTGTCTATGTTTGACATGTGGCAAGCATTGGTATATGACTTTCGAGGGGTGTCCCTGCTATATAGGCATGAACAATACATTTAAACTTCCAATTTTGGTGATTTTATCATGTCGGTTAAATACACATTATTAGTCTCTTTATAGTTTTTCTACATGTACAAAATTTGATCACAAAATATGTAAATGAGTTGTGCTTGATTTTGTAATCGAATTCTATATATCTCAAATTTCTCATGTCTATATGATTGTTTTACGAGTTTGCATTTATAGTTCACCTCCAATGATCAACTTGTGCATTCATGATTCTCTCATTATTAGACCAGCAAAAATGAGACATGAATATAATTTTCGGTTCCGCTACGTAGCTCGAAATATCAAAGGCTCGAATGGCTCGAAATTTCAAAACGACGTCGTTTTAAGGATTTTTTTATTCTCTTACCAGTAAGATAATATTTTTCGTACCATTCGAGCCATTCGAACTTTACACATTCGAGTTACAGATCATTTTCGTATAATTTTTACACAAAAAAATCCTTTCATAATGATGACAATGATAATTTTGAAAGTATGACTATTATGATGGGCTATTCTGATTTAGAATAAAAGGATCATAACTCTTCTTATTATTGGTCTTTAGATCATCATTTTTCCATGTAATTATATGTTTCTTGCTACTAACTAGGGAAGGAAGGGCTTCTTGTCCTATTGATTTATGCAAATTTTCGTGCCAAGATGGGTTTTTTATTGTTTTTTCCTCAGCTTTTTCAGATCTGACTAAGGCCTCGTTTGGCAAGAGGCTATTTTAGCCAATTAGCCAAAAAGTTACTAAATTAGTCAAAAAGCCAACAATCCATAGCAAAAAGTCAAAGATTCTCTTTTCTCTCTACTTTTTGCACATCTTTTCGTAATTAATCAAAAAGTCATCCCAAACATACAAGTTTTTTTTACCTACTTTTTTAGCCAAATAACCAAAAAATTACTAAATTAGCCTGTTCCCAAACGAGGCCTAATACTGTGGGATTTTTAGATTTCCCAAAACTTTTATAAGGAAAATGAGTGAGAGCACTAATTAGTGCTATCACTAATGATGTGACAGTGGGTCTCACCAGGAATGATTTGATGTTTTGGTCTTGGTGTTATATTTTTTTTCTTTTTTTATTGAGTGCCATGTCATTAGTGGTCTTTTTAGAGGTTCAAAATTAGTGGTCTCTATCATTGTTGCTTTTATAATTAGTTGGTCTTATGGATTTCATATAAATTTGAATTGGTTTCTTTCAAGTGAAAAATTTAGGGCTCGTTTAGGGGCCATATTATTTTAATAATTTTTTTAATATTTTAATTAAAATATGAGATAAAAAAATTAATATGTTTGGAATGATTTTATAATTTTTTATAAAAAAAAATGCAAAAAAGTAGAAAAAAAAAGAAATTTTTGACTTTTTATTATAGGTTATAGGCCTTTTGATTTTTTTAGTAATTTTTACTTTTTAACTAAAACACTCATATGCCAAACGAGGCCTTAGTAATCTGTTAATTCATCATATTAAGAGTTTGACATGAATTGTAATGATAATTTGGCACTGTCAAATGCAAAAGGGGGAAAAAAAAAAAAATACGTACAAGGATTTCAGAGAGAACACGAGGCTGGCGAAGGGGTTTCAAGATGAAACCGAGAAGGCGAGTAGTAACAACAATCAACAACAATTGCAAGATGAAGAGAGGGAGGGAATAATTGAGAGGATTGTCACCCTGCCATATCCCATTAGTTGTTATCATCGTTGGTGCATAACACACTATTGTTGCGTTCTTTGTTTTATTTGGTAATATTGCCTCTTCCATTTTCGTCTGCCTGTGTTTTTTTTCACCACCACCACCACCACTATCACAACTACAACCACCACCGACACCACCTCTTTTATCTCTTATAATACCCAAACTTAGCACAACAAATGAAACCTAGACCTCCTTGGCCGCCACCCACCACGAATAATACCATCACTAGGGAAGGCTTGAGAAGAAGCAAATTTTCTTTTCTTTTCTTTTCCTTTTCAACAGAAACTGTAAAAGAAAGAAATGGTAAACTCTCTTTCAGATGGGAAGGGAAGGAAAGAAATTTGGAAAAAAAATTAATGATTTAGTTATTGTGGGTTGTGTTTGTTGGTGCATTGACCATGAAAGAGGAATGGATGAGGAGAGAAGTTAAGTTAGCTTAGGTGGTTGCCTGCCCACCCCTTTTGGGCCATGTTTCTCTCTTCTTCTGGTCTATACTTACCAAACAGTTGTCTGTTTTAAGAAATGACACAGTTAATAAAAGTAATACACTAACATTTTGTACATTTTTTTACAAACATACCTAGCACTTGATTATTCGACTGTTAAATACCACATCACAACTATTTAATTACTCAAAAAAAAAAAAAAAAAATCTCTATTTGTCCATTGGTAAAGAATAAGCAAAGTTGCATTGTTCTTCACTGATTTTTCGGTAAACTATAGGTTAGTGTGATTTTCAATATAATATTCCTAATTTTTTCTATTTAAGTCCTCCAACTTCAATCTTGATTTATTGTGATTCTTAAACTTTAATTTTTTTCTATTTAGGCCTACAACTTTAATAAGTCAAGTTAATCCATTCTATTAATAGATGTGGGAAAAACTATGCTATATTTTTTAATTCTAGATTTAAACTAAAAACAATAGTTTAAATGTAAAGGAAAAAAAAATGCAGAGTAAAAACTATTAACAGTTTACGAGGATTGATTAGGATAAATTTGCACTGTTATCGGACAAGACAAAGAGGTGAGATTCGACCATTTTAAGTAATTCAGATCTTCTATAAAACATTGCTCGTAGTATCTCAAAAGGACAAATTATTATATTCTTTTATTTTAAGTTGTACCCCAAAACGATATCGTTTTAGAACACTATAGAGTACGCAACCGTCAATGCTCCTATAGATAATCTAAATTCTAGTTTTTCTTGTCTTTGACGTCAAAGACCAAACTGAATATCAGTAAACCCTACATGTTCCTTTACATTCAATCTGACCATCAATGAGACAAACAAACGTGTCCATTCTCTCTATAGTGTGGTACTAATACTATGACTTTATTATCAGATTGCTTTATGGCCTTGGGGGAAAATCATATTGCAGACTAATATTACGAAATTTGAGTATATTGCACAGTCAAAATTAAATAATTCAACACTGAATCTTTTCCCTAATACAAATTGATGAAATGCACTTTCTTTTTCATTCTTTTTCCATGTGAAGATGCATTATTTTTTCATCAAATTGTTAGTCACGGACTCATTACTGTGCTACAAAATGCTGAAAGATTTCTTCCAAAGGGACCCATGAAAAAATTGGCGTACAATGAGTACCATGGCCTAGCTACTTTAGAAGCAGTAAATGACAAATTTAGAATGATGCAAGCTGACTCAATCACTACGTAACATCTAACATCGCCAAACAAACCTTAAAAAAAATTTATTTTCTTTTAATTTGTTGAAAATTAAAATAAAATCTTATTTTGATGTTCATTCTGAATCTCCACTAACCCAAATGCTCTAGCTATGAAGTTTAAATCTTGAATCTTGATCCTTATTAAGTCTGTGTACTGTTTCTTCTTTGATTTAATGAACCATTCTTTAGCTGATTTAGAAAAAAATAAAAAAATAAATAATTAAAAAAAAGCTGCAAGATCAATCCAAGTTGCTCGGTGAGCTTTTTGTATATTAACTATAAACAATTGAATGATAATTTTTTTTTTTTGTTAAATTTTAAAAAAACTTGAAAAGTAATCATGTCTTGATGGATGATGGATCACTACTGCCTGAGCCTATATGTCCAAAGTTTTGAGTTAGTAGAAACTAATAAATAGAATGGATTTAGAACTGAGAAGTTGAGGCTGACGGGGAGATATTAAAATCTATTCAGGCCATGTGATTTGAGATCTATTTTTGTTTCTCTGGCATAACCACATGGTAGTGTGTTTTTTCATTTCGATCTTTTCCATTTGGTTGAATCGGCATATTCATTACATTGCGTAAGGTTGCAATATATAATTAATATTGAAATCAATGGCATATAATTGTTACATCAATTTAAATTTTAAAATATTCGTAATTATTTTTTAATTTGTAATAAAAATTGGTTGATTTGATGCAATTCTCATAATATTTTTTTTTTTTTTGAAACAGCCAAAAGGAAAATTTATTGATAATGATCAAGCAAATATGTTGACAATTATCAATAAAAAGATAGCCCGATCCCAACTAAGTTGGCACCGAGAAACAAAACAAACAGATAGAAATCACCACCCACCCACAGTTGGTAAGACACCAACCCAAAGCACAAGGGAGAACTATATTAGCAGCCCAATACAATTTTACTCCCCAAACTGCATCTGATTTGGCTCAGATTGGTCAAGAAGTCCAGAATAGTGAAGTGAGAATCCTTAAATCTTTAATTCAGCCATGTTGCAACTTTAACCTTAATCAAATTACAAACTTCCTCCAACTTAGGTGTAGCAGAGTAAAAAATGCACTCATTTCTACATTTCCACGATGACCACAAGACTGCCAAGGGGATGATCTTCCAAATCAATTTTTCTTTTCTGTTCAATTGATCACAGTCCCACCAATGAAGTACAGCTTCCACAGAATCTGGAAGAGCTCCTTGCATCTCCCACCAATTCAACATTGTAGTCCAAACCTTCCACGAAAAATAACAATGCAGCAGCAGCACATGACAGATCGATTCAATTCTCATAATACTTTGTATGTCAATTTGTTTACTTTCGTGCAGGCATTCAGTTTAGGTCCATCAGCATACCATGGTTTCTACTCTAGAGATTTAAATTGTGCATCGGAAAAAAAAAAAAAAAAATCAAATTGATTCAATAATCGCAATCACATAATTTCATCATATTTGTTTTTAAAAATATATGACAAATATGATATTAAAAATATATCATCTATTTTTTTTTGAATAAAACTAAGGGAAAATCTTGCAATTACGATTATTGAATAATTTTTTTTTTTGGTGGATGATCTAAGAAGAATAGTTTGGGGTATCAAAATGAGATTTATGCCAAGTGCATGGGCCGAGGATTGGAGCAATGCTATAATGCATTTTTATTTTTTGTCACGAAACAAAAATGTTAACAATTAATATTATTTATTTTTTTTTACTCAGGAGATTGTTGGAAACTTTACTCCAAAATAGTCCCCAAATACCTCCTTGTATTTCTATATTTCGACTTAATCATTAAAATAAACAAAAAAATTTGCCAAAAAAAGAGAAAAGAGTGGGGTATGAAATTTTCAGCCATTGGAAATGTGTTTGATGGAATTGGAATCCAGAGATGTAACACTGTTATTGCTGAACAATATCAGGGTCAGGGGATCACATCTAGTGTGAGAAAAATAATTACAAATTAATAATTTTTTTATCAAAATTAATACTTAAAATTATAAAAAAAATTTAATGATTTTGCAACTATTTTTCTGTTAGCATACTGCATTGTAATTTTCCTAAACAAAATCATGAAAAATATGTTTGGATCAAAATCATGAAAATGACGATATTTGATTATAAACTCTGAAATTCATTGTTTAGGAATTAGGATAACTGTGTCCCAACATTTACCAAAAATTTGGACACTCATTTTGCTCATAAATATGCATGTAATATGATATTACCTTTGATTATGCCTTAAAATAAACAAATTTGATATATATTTAGATTAGGAAACAATAATCGAGTCGGTCAGTAATAGCGTTCATCACCCATTTCCAAGCACTTTATGCCATGGACTTGTTTCGTTGCACTTACAAGTCATATTACAAAATTTTCAAAATTTTAACACAGATGATTCCTGAATCATATACATATACATTTTATCAGAAAAAATGAATAAAAAAATAAACAAAAACAAAAATAAAATGCATGAATCAGATTTATGATCCACATAACATTAAATTCGAATTCAAAAACTAACTTTTTTAATTATATCTAAAATTTTTGAACACTTTCAGAACAATTTCTCTTGGTTTTTAGCTTTTCTGAGAGTAGTAGTAATAACCTTTCATTTCTAGAAGTAAAGGTAGTAACTTACACAAAAGCAAGCCAAGTGATCACTTGAGATCTTCCACAAGGAAACTTATTACATCTCACGAAATCAAATTACACACAAATCACTATTACAAAGGAAAAGGTGAAGTATCCACCACACAAACACAACACAACACAAACTTAATAGCAAGAAACAAGAAGCTAGGTGAAAGAGAGGGAACTAATTTAGGCACAATGAAAGCCAGAAGGAACTTTTTTCTCACAAACATTAAGAAGCAAGCTGAGGGAAAGACAGGGACATTAAGGTTGATTCCCAAAACATTTGCTTTAATGGCAGTGCAAAGGCAAACAGCAGCTTCAAGGTTAGCTAGGCCTTGAATGAGACTGCAGCATGGAGTTTTTGATGGAGTACCCACTGTTATATTAAGCAATCCGCCGAGCAAATCGGCACACACACCTAATTTTAGGGCATCTTTAGGGCAGGTGGCCTTAGATGGCTTTGGTATTGGTTTTGGGTTAAATGGGCAAGTGCCACATGAACTTACAAAGGTAAAGAAGAGAAGGTTGAGTAAGAGGAAAAGGGTAAGTGTTGCATTGCCCGTTGAACCCATCTCTCAAAAACCCTAATAAATCTTTTTAAGCTAAAGATGTGAGAGAAGGGTATTTGGAATGATGGAGAGATTTGAGAAGGGTGGGTTTTTATAGAGTGCAAGGAAGAGGGTTAGTTCCTTGATTTGATTTGAATGAAAATATTATAAACAAAATCCATGTACGCATGTGAACCTTTGGGATTTTAAATGGAAGATCAGGATTTGGCAAACTTTTGGATGTATATGAGGGGGAGAAGGCAAATTGCCATGTTATCTGCAATACATGGAACTATATGCATCATTTCTTGTGGCTGCACAGTTTTAAATTCATAATTCAAACAGTAGAAATCATGTTATATAAGATCAACTTCCCTTGTATTTTATGCAATGTCTCTCCTATACATACCCCCATCTTTTATCAAAGGAGAATACCGACATAATTTCTATACATAAAACTCACACTACTATTGTGATGGTGGTAATTTTATAATTTTGAGCAATAATGATAGATATTTTATTTTGGAATGAGGGAATCACAAAA